AAGTTCTTCCCTGGGATCCTAGCACCCCTTCCTCTGGAAGGCTTATTGGAAGATGAATGCGAGAAGGACTTCCATGAAGAATTCCTGGAAAATTCCCTTCCAGGTTTATAGCTCCTGCTGTCCCGAAAGGACCTATCTTTGAAGCGCTTGGTCTTCCAGGAGGGAGGAAAACTCTTCCTGCTGGCTTGAGGTAAAAACGCCTTTTTCCCCATCAACAGCTTTTTGAATAGCATCTTCCAGAATATTCACAAAAAGGAGATCCCCTTGGAACGGAAGTGCACACAGGGAAGCCTTAGAAGCATAATCAGCACCCCACGAATAAAGCCACAGAGCCCTTCTAGAAGCCACAGATAGGGCCATGCTTTTGGCAATCATGCGAGTGATGTCCAGGGAGGCTTCTGAACAGATTTCCGTGGCCAGACTAAAGTCCTTGAGGCTCTCCAACAGATGTTCCCTGCGGACACCCTGATCAATGTCCTCCCTCAGATTAGCGAGCCACACTTTCAAGGCTCTGGAGAGAGTAGTTAGTGCCACTGCCGGATGAAGGGCGGACCCTAGGGCCAAGTAGGTTTTAATCAGGTCTCCATCCATACGCTTCTCCATAGGCTCTCTTAGATATGCCATGGAGTCAATAGGCAGTGTCGTTTTCTTAGCCATAAGGATCACTGCAGCGTCAATTTTAGGAACCGAGTTCCACAGGCAGCAGTCCACTGAAGAGTACGGATAAACCCTCGTGAACTTATTTTTTAAGGTGGACTTCTTTTCCGGCTTATTCCATTCCTGAAGGATCATATCCCTGATTGATGTATGCACCGGGAAAGTCGGTCTGTTAGGTTTTAGGTCCTCAAAGAACCTGTCAGCCTCTTTTAATTCAGACCTTTCTTCAGTGAGACTAAGAGTGTCTCTGAGAAGGGTAATAAGTCTATCAACAGACCTGGAGTCAAGAGACCTGGAGGTATATTCAGTTTCCTCCTCACCTTCATCCGAGACCTCCCACACATCAGGGTCTTCATCAGAGCTGGAAGACTGAGGTTCCGCTCTGCGTCTCTTACTCTGACCACTACATCCCGTGGTAGCCTTAAAGCCCTCAGCAATAGCCTGGGAAATCCAGAGTTTAAGGTTGTCCTGTGGAGAACCCCTACCGGGGGCGTCTGCGACTTCCAACAAGCAATCCCTGCAAAGGTTCCTTCCATTCGGAGCAGGCGATGAACAATTAATGCATTTATTTGACTTTTCCCGTGATTTTCTTGCTGGAGAATCCAAATGAATGCTGGGACTGGAATAAAGCCATATATGACATATATTACAGGCTTAGTATGGCACTCTTTTAACAACCCCCCATAAATTTAATAAATGGCTCACCTATGTTTTCTAGAGAGGGATCTTGCAGAGGCAGAGGGAGAATCCATACTATAAAAAAGAACCAAAGGAAATTCAAGACCTAATTTCACAAATGGATAAGAGGCAAGCGGATGAAAGCAAACTTCTAATCAGTAAAAAATAGAAATCCTACCTTAAAGAAGAAGAGTTCCACCAAGCAGCCAGGTAACAGGAGAAGCAGTGGTAAGAAATCAATTCCCTGGGGGAACACAACTGTAGGACTGCAGATACAGCACAAGAAAGCTGTATCTGAGGCTTTAAATAGGACCGGGCACTGAAACAGCTGATTGCCCGGTCCGCGCATGCGCAGAGCGCTGGAACGCACGCCATGTGTTCCAAACGCTCGCGGCCGGCGTGCAATTCACTTCCGGTTTCACAGAAACCGGCCGCGAGCATCATACAGTCGGCTGGAACGCAGAATGCGTTCCAGCTCCCAACGGCCGGACGCCCAAGTAGCCCCAGAGAGCAGGAAGTCTTTTAGACAGGAACACCCAGACGGCCAGTTAAAGGTACCAAACCACACAAGCCTAAGTATGGATTCAAAGGCTGCCATCCAAGCATGGGGCAGGTTAAAACCAGGGGAATTTTTAAGGCTAAACCAACCCCACAAACAAACATAACAGTGTTTCCCTCAAACACTTACTTCACACGCTGCAGTTCAGTACTTACACTGAACCTGATACAGTTAGTCCTGTTCATGCAGGCTGTTCACTGGACCCTTCAAATGAAGAGAGGCTGAACTTCATTTGGAACGAACCCACGACAAACGCAGGAAGGTGGCCATAAAATAAAATGTAAAAAAGTCCTGTAGAACTTGCTAAGGACAGGAAAAAAGACTGGGGTGTAGGGGGAGGAGGGACTCCTTATACCTATCAGTCTGCTTAATTAATCTAATTAATTCCTGTCCTGTGACTGCTAAGGGAGGAGCTACCCATAAGTGATGCTGCCATGATTAGCCAGGAATATGCCTTAACTTTCACAGGCATTGACCTTGTTAATTGTAGAGGGAATGGGGAGAGATAGACTAAGCAGTTGCTTAGTATAAGAGTCTATATGGGGTGGTCCAGATAGAAACCTAAGTATTATATCATAAATATCACATTTCCTAAACACCCCAAAGGTACCATAAAAATACATAAAACCCCACAAAAGTTACATCCCCTGATAGCACCAATCTAAATGACAAACACATCCAAAAATCTCCCAGATCGGTTCAGGAATTTCCTGGAATTCATAATTTGACTGACCACACGCACGGTCCCATGCCCAAAACAGTTCCAGAGAATCAGGCCTTGCGGTCGGTCTAGTTCGGTAGTTTAAAAACCGAACAAACTACCGAACATAGTCAATGTTCTTACCCTGGAGCTTATTTCCCTTGTTCGTGGGAACGTTTCCACCAAACAGTGTCTTTCTAAGTGTTGTAGAACCGAACACAGGCAATCATGGAAGTCCAGTGGTGTTCGGGAGTTTCAGTGTCCGAAAATAGTTCCATGAACTCGACGACAAAACACTGCTGCCTGTGTTCATGCAAACAAGAGGGCTGCCACCCTGTGTTCGTCCATAGGAAATGCGGCCACCCAGACGAACACTTAGAACACTGGGGTGGAAGTTGCTACAAAGTATCAGTTAGGCTTAACAAGCTCCAGGGTGGTCTCCAGTTCGTGCAGCTGTTCGGTTCCCCAACCATATAGTCCAAATACACGAACTGAGACTTTTACACTACATTTTACAGGGTCCATAGTCTGTGGGCAGGAGGCTGGCAGGCAGGCTCCTCCATGAGCTCGTGGCA